TTTAATACATTTGAAGAACTAGTTTCAAAGCTATATAAATAAATACATAAACAAACAGATTTTTAAAAAAAACCATACAAAGATCTCCTACAACTAAATAATAAAAAGACAACCCCAATAATGGATAAAAAGCTAAGCAGACACTACATAAAGGAAGATAGGCAAATGGTCAGTAAACATATAAATATGCTAAGCATCACAGTCATCAGAAAATGCAAATACAAACAATGAGACACCATAATCACCAATTAAAGTGGCCTTAATTTAAAAGGCCACTGACACTAGACACTGTTGAGGATGTGAAGCCACTAGAATGTTCAAACACTGTTGGTGAGAATATGAAATGGTACTCCCATTCTAGCTAGAGACTTGACTGTTTCCTATAAAGTTAAACAAAGACTTATCCTTTACCTCAGCAATTCTACTTTTAGGTATCTACCCAAGAGAAATAAAAACATATTACTATAAACAAACCAATATGATAACATTTATAGCCTTCATTATAGTTGCCCCTAATGAAATTACCTCGAAATCCATCAACAGAAGAATAGATTTTAAAAGCAAGGCAGATTGATATACCACTATAAGGTGTCAATAAAACAAAATGAATTATTGACACTTGCAACAATATGAATGAATTCCATACACATTATAATGAGCAAAATAAGCTGGACTTAAGAGTACATTCTATATATTCTGCAATGTGTTCATTTTGTACGTTTTACAGAACTGTCTAGAGTTCTAGAATAAACAGGACTAATTTATGGTGACCTTACTGTATCAGCAGATTAACTGGAAAAAGAAAGTAATAAAGGAACTTGTTGTAGTGAATGGAAATGTTCTATATCTTTATAGTGGTATGTATTACATAGATGTATCTACTTATTAGGATTCATCAAATTATTCACTTAATATTTGTGCATTTCAATGTATAGAAGTATCTAAAAAACTATAAATAAAGAAACAAAAAATGCCAAAAGTTTACATAATTCCAGATAAATCTAAAATACTTCAGCTTCACAGGTCATAATATGCATGGTAGAAATCTATGATCTATTAAGAGGTTCCCCTAGAACCTCTGGAACTCATTAGTGAATGATAAATGGAGAAAACTGTTGGATGAGCTTTAACCAATACAACATTTTTTTCAGGCGGCACAACTACTCATAAGTTCCCAGGAAAACTCCATTTTTAGCATAGAAATATATTTCTTTCTTGGAATATGATGGTCAAGAAAGGAATTTGCAGTTCCAATACAAGCTCAGAATGGCAGGGGGAAACTGTGGTTATGCCATGTAATGATTCCACAACTCTTTAAACTGAAAATGGAAAGTCATTCTTACACCATAGAAATTTGCTTTTACGGCAATTTCCCTTTCTACCCTCCACTTTCCCTTACAGAAGAAAGGTGGATACTTCAGGAATTTGCTCAAATCAAGTAAGAAAGAAGTTCTTGTTTCTCCAGTGTTAACTAGAGCTTTTTTGCATCTCTGTAAGGGATGAGGACTAACCTTTCATTTCTTATGTAAAGATAAAGGGATCATAATTGAAGTTGGATGTGGGTAGAAACTCAACAATAATAATGTGCAAGATTGCCATGGACTTTTTCACAGACAAATGAAACAATGTTACTTAGGTCTTGTTTCTTTGTAATTTGTTGTTGTTGTTGTTAGACAGCATGGCTATATTTAATATCTATTGTGCTTTTCACCTCAACTTCATTTCCAGCCTACACTCATACTCTTTCTTCAATCCTCCTCATTTTTAGCCAAGCAATCTTTTTTGGCACACTGCTCCATGCTTTGAGCAGTTGTTTTTCTTTGAAGTTTCCTAAGTAGTTAGAGGGCTCTCTGCACTTACGTGAAGAAAGCTTGTGGATGACAAAATTGAAGATGAAGCATTTAAACACAGACAAAGAATTCCACTTTGGTCCTTGGAGAGTGCAAATAAAGCTATAAGAAATTCAAACCAGGAAGACAAAGAGCTAGCCATTTTTAAAACACTGACCCTTCTCAAATATTTGATTTAGTTTATATAATTTTATAAACAGAAGAGACAATTTTCCTTTTTCTGATCCAAATGAAAATTAACGTGGCACTCATTCTTTATATCACCTTTTTGTGTCTTCTTAAGGAACCCAAAATAATAGAGGAAACAACACGGGCTTCCTAGAGATTTAGCAGAATTTTGAATTTACCATGTTGGTCAAGTTGTTTAATTATACAAAGCTCTAGTTATCTGCCTGTAATTATGGTAACAGTGACCTCTAGGACTGTTTTATATTTTACATACACACAGATCTGAATGCAAAGCACAGTGCTTGGCACAGACAAAGCACTAGATAAACTGGAATTTGTTCAATCTGGCTCCTGAATCAAACGATAATTTGTTCCTGAAAGTGTTGCCCTTAAGTCATGAGCACTGCTATTCTCCATTTCATTTGGTCCTCAGGATTTATGGGGTACTAAAGGAAGAAACACAAAATGACCATCTCCTGCATTAAAATTGTAATCCATCATTTGGAACACTTACCAAATGCTATTCCTGGTTATTTAGTTGCAGAGGAAACACAGACAGCAAAGACTATTACTGCTATTGTCCTGCATTTTGCATCAACTCAAAGAGAAATATTATTCAGAAAATTTGCATATATCAAAGACAACTACACTGAACAGAGCACCAAGCTATGTACAAAGGCACAATAAATACTTTAAAAAATATACTGAACAATTTTAAAGAGTTCTTTGATTTAAGAAAATATAAAAAGTAAATTAGCATTTTAAATGATATGGTTCAGTCTTTAAATGGAAAAAATGTCAATTATTCATCTGATTATATTTTCATATATCAAAGTCATCTGGAATGTGATTATGATTCACAAGTACAAATGCTAAGACAATATCTGCCATATATATATATGTGTGTGTATATATATATATAAAGCATGTTTATAGTTTTTATTCTTCCTATCATTATATATGTTTGAAAACCTGATAGTAATTGAGAGTTGGCCACCATAACAATTTATTTGGTAAACTGAATCAGTAAATGTGCTCTAACTAAATGTACTAAAGAAAAAAGCTTTTTATTTTTTTAAACGTACATGTTATTCAAGACAGCATTCGGGCATTAAAATTTTTAAATGTAAAAAATCAAGTCTAATGAATAAAATACATCCCAAATATGAGAATAACTGCAGAAGCAAATCAATTTTGTTACTTGTTCTTATATTAATTATTCATCAAAGTTCTGACTAAACTTTGGAATTGCAGTGCCTACTACAAAGTTGATATGAATTGACCTAAAATATTTCTTAGGGCACTAACTTCATATAGTTCTGTAATATTTTGATGACCCTTCTGAACAGTCTAAACAATTACTGTAAGAAAATAAAAATCAAAATGCACTGTGATTAATTTGTTAGTAATTTATTTTAACATAAAAACTTCAGTGTATATATGGGGTTAATGTTAAATACTAACAATCTATTTTTAAAGTCTACTGTCAATGTTTACTTGTAATCAAATATGATTAATGTAGCCAGTTGGCTCCTGGCAGTAACTCCAGTAATGGGAAATTATCATAAGCCAATACATCTTGATTACAACAGCCTGTGCCTTTATTGTCTGTCCAGATTCTTTTCACATCAGGTCTATAATGAAAAACTAAGTCACAAACACAGGTATTAGAAGATACATAGCCGGACCACTGTTCTCTGGAACAAATCAAATTTTCAGTAACTCATAAGGTAATTTGAGAGCTTTCATTAATAAAATGCTTCAACAAACAGTTAAATTCTACAGATTTTTCTCACTGAACAGTCAACACATCTCTAAATATGCATAACCCATGAAAGAATATTGCAGTGGGTTGCCATGCCCTTCTCCAGGGGATCTTCCCGACTCAGGGATCGAACCCACGTCTCTTATATCTCCTGCATTGACAGACTCGTTCTTTACTACTAGAGCCACCTGAGAAGCCCATATATAACCCACACCACAAATGAAAAGTAAATTGACGCATACATTTAAAACCCCTGATTTTTTGAGGAAAAACAGTTGGAAAACCTTTAAGTTCAAATTAAAGTCAAACATTTATATTGCTGGATTTGGCAGCAGGGGTGGGTTCTCAAGAGAGACAACACGTTCCAAACAGGGCGTTCCATTCCCTCTCAACCCATTCATAAAGTGCCTTTCTGTTACGCAATGGGATCACTCTCCTTGTTAATGAACTCAGGCTGATGTTTAGTATTAATTGATTGCACATACAAACGAGAAAGCATCACTCATCTTTACTTAAAACCAGAACTTAAGCAAGATGCTTAGGCAGAGGCACCTTTGCAGGGAGTCAAAGGAAGCAAACCTAAGAACGTGACTTAAACAGGAATCGGAACGAAAAACAAACGGTCACAGTACTCAGGAACGCTTGGACGAGAGTCTCTGAAACGCAGGAGTAAACCGGTGTGGACAGAGATAGAGGGCTAGCATACTTCTGGGAAGAGTGAAGCCCTGAAGTGTTCGCTGATATTACTAGGACCCTAATTGAAGAAAGGGGACTTTGGGGACCCTAACATTGGCTTCTCCTTTCTTAGAGAGCTCTTAATTAAGCAGAATTTGCTCTATACCGACTCCAGTAGACAGCTCGCAACACCAAACCTGGTGTGTCTGCACCGCGATCACGAACCAGACAAGACAGGAGGAACAATCAATGCCAATAAGAGATGGCATGTTCCTCTGACTTTTGTTTGCCCGGGCTGACGTTCTAGACACTCTCATCCTTGTGGAGCCCGGGAAGATAGTGTACATTCCCACCCCTCCTCAAAACAACCCCAATCACAGCCCCGCGGAGCGGGGTTCTGTCCCCAGGACCAAGTCTGAACCGCGTCCCGGCGGATGGCTGCCTAAGACCTTCCCTTAGATCGGGCGCAGTTCGTACTTGGAGCGAGGGAGAAAGCGTCTCTCTCAATTCCTCCCGAGGCCACACTTTCTATACAGACCCACCTGCATGGGAGCTTCGTGTCTCATTGTTCGCAAAGTGTCCTTTCTCCCTGGCTAACACAGTGCTGGCTCGGGCGCCCGGTCAAGCGTGCACAGCCCGCGCGCTTCACGCTCCACTCTGCGCTCGGGGTTCGCTAACCGGCTCCAACATCAGCACCGGAGCTGTCCCTTCCTGGCGCCGCACACGCGTACTGGCCCGGAGCCCCGCGTGCTCCTGGGAGTTGTAGTCTAGCCTAGCCGAACTTCCCCGCAAACCGGTGGGCAGTAAACTACATTTCCCGGCAAGCCAGCATTTAAACGGGCTGCTTCTCCAGTAGGACTCGGCCGCGGAGCCTCCCTTCTCTTTTGGACTCGCTCCTGGTTAGTGCTCTCAGCCTGCCGGGCTGTTTCCTCGCAAGGTGCAAGCGAAAGTGACCCCAGTTCATTCATCTCAGCTGGAGATTTTTCTTTGCTACCTATCGGCTTCCGAAGCTAGATTGTGATTTTCCTGGGTAGGAGACGCACTACCTTGTGCTAATTTCCAATCTAAACGAAACCTGCACCGCGTTCTGGAACTCTCCGCCCTACACCTCCCCATTCCCAATCGGGAAAGTTTGTACATTTCCATAGGCAGAGTAGGGTGGTTTTACAATCTCATTCAGCAGACGCGGGGGAGAACGACAATGAATGGTACACACATAAAGAAAGCGGTTTACTCACACAGTTGCTCTGAGAAGGCGCCCACGCGCGCGAGTATACTCACACACACACACTCACACTCACACACACAAAGTCCATGAAAGCGAGATTTCACGCGGAGCAGGCGGAGGAGCTCCCTTCTGCTTACCTTTCCGTACAGCTCCATGGCAACTCAAGGTTCCGAAATTCTCAGTAATCCCTCCTGCTCCAAGTGAGGCTAAGGTCTCACGCAGGAAGCCGAGCTAGACGCACTACACAATGGAAGGGGTGGGGGTGGTGCCTGGCGGAGGGAGAAATGAGGGAAGACAGAAGAGTACAGCTGATTTAGATAGACGGGTTTTTTTCCTCCGAGGAGAAAGCTTGGAGTCTTCAAGTACCGGCTGCAGAGAAAGAACTGGGAGTCTTAGGAAGTGCCAGGGGAGCGATCGCACTGGGCAGCCCCTCCCCAGGCCCTCCCCCAGGCACCTTCCACCGTCATTAGTGCGCACACACAGGCGCTGCTGGCCCAAGGCTGGAGAGCTGATACCGGACTGGGTTATTTACCCAAAGCAAGTCACAGAAAATGAACACATTCATCACCAGAGCCCAGAAGCGCCGTCACAGAGCAAGATAGGAGACCTCTATTAAGCTATCCTGTCCTTTCAACAGAGTCATTCCTTACATTACAATCATACTCCTCCCTGGCTGGTTCAAAAATGGTTTTGAAATCTGGGAACTGTACTTGTATTACACTTATCTTCCCCTCAACTGACAAATATGTGTGACTATCCATATTCTCTGTACCCATCAAAAAACTCCCTTTTCCCCAAGAGTATATGTTAAGCAGAGCAGTAATGATTCTTGCCTTTCACTTTGTGGTCAAAATAATTATTGGAGGCAGAATGGAAAAGGAATGAACTTGATACTGACAGAAATATGGAAGTAACAACAACAGCAGCAAAACAGTTTGAAACTTCATTGCACTAGACAAAGCAGTAGAACAGAGGTTCAGAAATGTGCTTGAAAATCTCTTGAGGGTGCTAAAATTCGTATTCTCAAGGCTCTTGAAGGTGCTAAAATTTGTATTCTCAAGGCATGCGTAGAGATTCTGATTCACTAGATGTGACTGAGGAGTCTGAAAATTAGCAGTTTCAACAAACACCCTAGCGATTCTGATGCAGTGCTCCTTTGCCATTACTTGAGAAATACTGCCTTAAAATCTTTTATATGTAAAATTTTTCAAAAGTACAAATATCAAAACTTCATAGACTGACTCAATATTGCAACAACAATGTACTGGGAAACTACCATGTTTAAAATGTTCCATTAATTTTAGATTGTGTTTTTGGTTTTGCCTTTTTTTTTTTTTTTAAAGAAATCTAAGACCTGTTTTCTAATCTTGCAATCAATGAAAATGTAATGTGATATCACCTAGGTAAATAGTTTTTATAACTACTCAGAAAACAGTGGAAGCACAACTCCCCTCACAGTTTAGTTTATGTGAGGGTTAGAGCAACTTCATTTAAATTAGCTAATAACAAATAAAGTTAAAAGGTAAAAACCAATATCAATATATTTCTCAGTTGCTTATTAGACATAAGGCTTCTGCAAATAGTTATTGACATTTAATGATAAGAATTTGCAGAGCCACTTAGAGCTTGTCTTTCTTCAAAAGAATTTCCTATATTTTTTGTACTATCATGATCACCTTCTGAAACTCTCAGAATTCAGGGTCTGATACTACAGAATATGGAGAAGGCAATGGCACCCCACTCCAGTTCTCTTGCCTGGAAACTCCCATGGACAGAGGAGCCTGGTAGGCTGCAGTCCATGGGGTCGCTACAGAGTTGGACACAATTGAGCAACTTCCCTTTCACTTTTCACTTTCATGCATTGGAGAAGGAAATGGCAACCCAATCCAGTGTTCTTGCCTGGAGAATCCCAGGGACGGGGGAGCCTGGTGGACTGCCGTCTGTGGGGTCGCATAGAGTCGGACACGACTGAAGCGACTTGGCAGCAGCAGCACTACATAACGTGTTGAAATATTACAATGTTGAAACCGTATGGGTTTACTATTGTTTGAGTAAATAAAGAACCCCTGAAAATTGAGTTGCCAAAAAAAGAGAGTCGTGAAAGTTTAGGGGGATCTTAGTTCTATCTTGTTTCTCCTGCCTTGGTTGGTTATTTACGTGGGTTAAGGGAGTGAAAAAAAGCTAGCCAGTGATAAACTAAACAAACAAAAATGGACAGGACCTCAGTTGTCTCCCTGAAGTTGAAAGAGCACTTTATCTTTTCTTGAAATTAGGCCACCATCTATGAGTTTCATTCCCAAGATGACTGCCGGAGCTCGAGCTCTTCCATTCACAGTCTAGTTGGCAAGAAGGAAAAACTGATGATGAAAATGTAGCCCTTTAAATACACCACTGCTCTTATATTATAATGCCTAGAACTTCATCTTGTGACCATACATACTTGCAAGGGAGACTGGGAAATGTAGTCCCTATTCTGGGTGAACCTGTGCCCAGCTGAAAATCAGGAGTTGTTATAAAATGGCTAATGGGGAAGAACTGGAGTGGGTAGCTTATCCCTTTTCCAGGAGACCTTCCCAACCCAGGAATCGAACTGGGGTCTCCTGCATTGCAGGCAGATTCTTTACCAGCTGAAAGGGAAGCCCACTGGAACTGACCGGCAGCTGGTGATCTCTATTACAGGGCATGCATGCTGAGCTAAGTTGCTTCAGTTGTGTCTGACTCTTTGCGACCCTATGGACTGTTGCCTACCAGGCTCTTCTTTCCATGGGATTCTCCAGGCAAGAATACTGGTGTGGGTTGCCATGCCCTCCTCCAGGGGATCTTCCTGACCCAGGGATCCAACCGCATCTCTTTTGGCAGGCGGTTGGTTCTTTACCACTAGCACCACCTGGGAAGACTATAAGATAAATCTTGCTGCTTTTTTCTCTTTGCAATTTTACTGAAATGTAAATGTCTAATAATTTAAAAATTCATCCACTCCCAGGGATCTCTGTAATTTAACAGCAATCAAAAAGACTCAGAATCAAGGAATTACCCAAAAGTTAGAAGAGTCTGACTCCTGTTGAGGAAATAAGGAACGAAGGAAGCCTTCTACAATTCCATATGAATCTGGGGTTTAAAAGATTTTAAAGGCAAAACAGAGTTAAGTAAAGGCAAAATAGAGTTAAGTGTGGGAGGTGGGAGGGAGGTTCAGCATGGGGGGACACATGCACACCCATGGCTGATTCACGTCAATGTATAGCAAAAACCACTACAATATTGTAAAGTAATTAGCCTCAAATTAAAATAAACAAATAAAATTTTAAAACTAGAGCTGAGTGAAGGCAAAGGGGCCACCAGTGAATGTCACAGAGTATGTAGAATAAGCATGTCCCCCTTTAGAAAGTAGAGCAGGCTCAAAGGTCCTAAGGTCCAGAAAGCGTGACTGACCCAGAATCTCAGAGATGAGAGAGGTGGCTGAAATGAGAACTCTTCGGTTTTTGTCTCTGGATTTAGTTTTCTTTTCATTGCCCGACATCATGATTCATTACTGATTGGCTTTTAGCAATCCCATGTTTATCTGTTATTTACAAGCATTCTTTTTTTTTTTTCATTTATCTGGTTTATCTATTATTCACTTTGTTGTTATCAGTCCCTGTCTATATCAGCTCCAGTAAAGTCCTGTCAAGCAAGTTAAGTGTGTGCGTGCTCAGTTGCTAAGTCATATCCGACTCATTGTGACCCCACGGACTGTAGCTTGCCAGGTTCCTCTATCCATGGGGTTTTCCAGGCAAGAAAACTGGAGTGGGTTGCCATTTCCCCCTCCAGGGAAATCTTCCTAACCCAGGGAGCAAACCTGTTTCCTGCATTGGCAAATGGATTCTTTACCACTGAGCCACCTGGAAAGCTCTCAATGAGTTAAACAGGCATAATTTATTTGGCTAAAACAGAGCCAAGAACAAGGATACTTAATTATTAATTAGTAATGATGATGTTGGTTAAATGAAAAATAGCATTAGATACTTTGTTTCTACCATTGTTACCATCTGTCTGTTAGGACTTGCACTGAAAAATAAAATGACTGAGTTTTGATATAAGAGATAAGCATGACACTGGGGATTCACTTACACCCCCATGCAAGCCTCACTCAAATCCACAGTGCATGGATGTTGCTGGATGTCTAATCCTAGGTGTTTTGGGGATCATTTCCAAACAAGCAGGAGGCATTCTGGACTGAGCCCTGTTACCTTTGTCTGACTATCTGTGTTAAATCAGGCTTTGATTTCAACTTTGTGCAGCATCTGGATCAAGAATTGTTATTGATTGTCTCATGTTCCCTTTGGAAGAAATTGAGTATCC